ACTGTTCCTAGCACGTCTAAAATTTTCATTTAAAAATTGTTTTTTTTTTTTTTTTTTTAGTTGGCAAAATTGACAGATAATCGATCATGGCAACCATTTTATTTTTTCTATTTGAAAATTCTTTAAATTTTTTTTTTTTTTTTTTTTTTTTTTTTTTTTTCAAAACTTTAAGAAAATCAGAAATTATGTTTATTTAAAATATTTTGAACCAAGGTTAACTTAGCTTCTGTGCTGAAAAGATGTAATTTGAAAATAAAACAAAGCCGGTCATAACCTTTCGCATCACTTGACAGGTGATAAATGACATATTGACGGATTACGTGAGGATAATTTGTTCTATGGAAGGAGAAAAATGAAATTATTTAGATTAGGTGGACAAATTATTTACCTCTTTATATTTAAGGAAAACTTTCAGCACTCTAATTTTTTTTTTTGTTTTTTTTTGTTTTTTGTACTTAGCTTTCACTTTTACGTTTATGATGCTGTATGGAAAATATATTATAAAGAAATTAAAATAAGACTGTTAAGAGAGATTGAATTTCATAAGAAAGGTACCTATAAATTAATTAGATACCTTTCATATGAAATTTTATCAGAAGTGTACATAAAATACTATAATTTTATGTACATTTTACTGTGTTTTGTATTTTCATTCATTTTATTATTAATTTTGATATTTCATTTATGGAAAAATGTCATAACTGAGATTAATATAAAAAATAAGATCACATAAATTTCATAAGATGATACTGATATTTGTAGGTACCCTTCTCAGTTGAAATTGAAAAGTCAAATTAACGTCTCCATACATGTTTCGCAAAAGTAAAGGCCTTAACTGCAGAGAACAATGCTTAACTCAAATAATGCAACTTAATTGTATTCTAGTTGGTCTTCCATACTTTATAATTACAGCCCAATTATAAACACAAAATTACATTTCTTAATTACCGTGGGTCTTCTGATTAGTCAAAACAATACAATTTACAACATGCTAAAAAAAAAAAAAAAAATCTATCTTATAAGGACACTTACAAAAGTGGATGCGGCTTTTAACTAATCTTATAATATTTTAACAACTTAAATGTAATAATTTATTATAATTAAAGAAATAACAAATAATTGTATTAAAAAATCATTTTTTCATTGAAAAAAATTTTGTTTTCAGAAAATATTGTCCATATTTATAAAAACAACTAAAAGCAAATAAAAGCATTTGAAATTAAATAATGTCTTTGTTTTATTGCGTTTATCCTTACTAATGTGGCCCCAGATCATATAGATATCATTTCTTACTTGAAAATAGTTAAATAACCTTATCAAAGTTCCTTGCAAGTAATAAAGGAATCCTGGAGGTGTTCAAAAATGGGTAATGCAATAAAGGAATCCTGGAGGTGTTCAAAAATGGCTAATGCAATAAAGGAATCCTGGAGGTGTGCAAAAATGACTAATGTAATAAAGGAATCCTGGAGGTGTGCAAAAAAAAAAAAAAAAAAATCTGTTGGCATAATGCAATCATTTGAAAATCTGGTTTGCAGCTTCAGTTGATAGTTTGTTCAAGAGATGAAATAAAGACATGGGTAGCCGAGATTTGCTGAATAAATGGCTTTCAGGTGTAGCAGCTCTTTTGGCAGACATTAAACCTATCACAAAAGTGCCAGCTTGCTTTTGCGCCACTTCATTATTATGGTCTAAGTATTGTACAAGATACCAAATGTCACATACAACTCCCTATCTCAAATTTTTTTTTTTTTTTTTTTTTTTTTTTTTTTTTAATGATTGGGAAAAACACATTTGTGTGAAAAATAATACACTGAATTTTAACATGACTGCTACTTCACTCTCATCATTTTTTGTTATTTTGATTATATTCATACCACTATTTTTAACAACAAACTTATTCTGCCAAAATCTCATTTCCTTTTTCTCTCAAGCACCTTAGTCATTCTAGTAGACTTTGTATAATTTTTCAACTTTTTAGTGCTATACCTTTGGTTTGCAGGGTTTTGTTTCAGTAGTCAATTGCATTTAAAAAAAAAAAAACTCTATCGTCAATCATGACAATACACTTAAATGAAATGATAATTTCTAATGCGTTGCGTATCTGATTGAGTTTGTACAGTTTAAGGCCTCTATTGTCAATAGATGTCTTTATCCCAGGTAGGTGATCTGTAAAAAGGTTGAATATAAACTCTTGCAAACCAATGGATGTCTTACTATGCTGTGCAGTGAGCAGCTGATATTAGCCTTCAAAACTTTTGTGGACTAGCATTGAAAAGTTTAGTTTTTGGATAATTCCGAAAAATGAAATTACTTTTGAACTTCTTTCAACAGCATGAACACCATACAGATTTAAATTGTGACAAGTGTATAGACAGGATGCAGCTAGGAAATTGTTCTGTGAGATGGAGTGTCATAAGATTCACTTGTGTTGCTGTCATTGCCATATGCTTGTTGATAGCAGTCTGCAAATGGTATTTTTTTAAGCTGTCACAGATTAAACCAGCAATTGATTTTCTGTATTTTTTCTTCTACAAGCTCAAATCTTTCTCTCGGTTCATAATCTACATTCTTATTTTTCAGCATCAGCATGCATAATAGAACATGGACGGTTTTCTTCTGTGTTAGGTGTTGTTGACGATGATTGAAAATATTTTGTGGCTTCTTGCTCTTTTATGATTGCTTTGGATACAGCATTTGTTGATTCTGGCTTTTCTTGATGGTCTATGAAACTTTAACTTTGTTCTTCACAGATTGGGTTGTAATAGCTAATCAACTCTTGAATACCAAAGAAATTATGACAGGACTTGTTTTCAGAATTTCTCTCTTGGAACACTGTAACATTAAGAATTCTGCAACGAATATACCCCCCTATACTGCTGTTTTCTTGATATTCTCAAATAGCATCTGATTGACCAATTATTCTAACGTTTTCATTTGTTATGTTTCATTTTATGTAATACTTGTGGCTTGCACCATTTGTATCAACAAGAATTTCTTCGTGTAACTTTCTTTTTTGCCTGTAGAATAACTTGGAATTCTAGTCGGTGGAATGAAATGCTGGTAGCAGTTTACTAAATAACCAATACAGAAAACAAAATCAGGAACCAATCCTTGGGGAAACGCTCACCATTTGTTAATAAAATGTTCAGACAACAGGAAATGACCACTGTAATATCATTAGGAAACTGGGAATGGCGTTTATCCAGGCCTTGTTTGACTGTATCCTCAATTTTGTTCATTGTGGACTTTCCATTTTTCCTTTGTTAAAGCTTAATCATTTTGAACTTTTCAGTTTTATCTGTATTGCAGATATATTGCAGTTGATATATATATTCCACCTCTGCATTTGTTTCCTTGATTGAGATTTTTCAATGTTTATGTAACTCTAAACTTGAGTGTTCTTTAGTTTCACTTTTTTCTTTTCCTTTTTAGTCTTCTGTTTTAGTTTTTGTGCTCCTAACATTATCTGGTCAGTAATTGAAAGAAAAGCAAATCCATCTTGATGCAAAAACTTCTGTTTATTTTCAACTGAGGCACCACAACTTAGATATTTTAAGAAAACCTTGATTCATTTCAGTTTTGGAATGCTATACTGTTTGACTGTATATAAGTAATCAATGGCTATTGGCCCCATTTCATTTTGCTGAAATTAGAAAATACTGGTCATAAATATTCTCAAAACTAAAGAGCAGTCTTCATGCCCCCTTTTTTTTTTTTTTTTTTTTTTTTTTTTTTACCATTGAGACATTTTCAGTTCATTCAAGTAGACATGAGAAATTTGTTAAACTATAGAAAATGATATAATTCAGTCATTTACTAATTTTTCATTTTTCTCCTTTTTTAAATTTGAATTTCATATTTATACCATTTATTAATTGGAGAATTTTACAAGTGCTGGCTAGATTATTTGAGTTAGGATTTTTCTCCAAACTTAGTTCATTAAAGTGTTCAATTTTATATCTCTGTGCTATAAGCTCTGCAACTGAACCAATGTCTCATAAAAATTGCTGGTCCTCTGGCACTGGAAGCCAATAATAATAATAATAATAATAATAATAAACCATAGTATGGTCTCGGGCAGTATCTCCAAATTGCAGGGTTTCATGGAACACCCTGATGTCTGCAGCAGTATTCAAAGGAACTAATAAATTCTACATAAAAAAAGACTTTGTCCTTGTGAAGTGACAGATGTCAATATCTTAAGATGACTGTATTTAACAGCATGCTTTAAATTTCTTTTTCTCCAGTATTTTTGGAAAATATTAGTGTTCAAATATTTTATATATTAGTCTTGTATTTAAACTTTCATTCGTTTTTTTTTTTTTTTTAAAAAAAAAAAAAAAATTTTCTTTGCTTTTCGTTTTCAGTGAAGAAATTTCTTTCATCATTCTTAACGAATACTCCTTGTGCATGCACTTTTTTTGTTAATTACCTAATTTTATATTTTGGTTACACCTTTTTAAAAATTTTCAGCAATGATTTTTTTTTTTTTTTTTTTTTTAGGAAGCAAATGTAATGAACCACATAGATATTTTTCATTCAAAAGATATAACATTGTTAATTTAAAGAATCTTAGAAAATTTGTCATTAATCTTGTTGGTGCTTGTACAGATACAGACTGTTTTTTTTTTTTTTTTTTATGTAAATGAATTTAAGTTACCTTTTACTCATCGCTTGTGTAGATTTTAAATATTTTCTCTAATCTTTGATATACAGTGTTAATTTTTAAAGTGTGGCCAAATATAAAGTTATGTAACTGGATGCATAATCTTATGGGCAGCCTTTTTTTTTCTTTTTTTTTTTTTTTCTTCTTTTTTTCTCTCCTCTCTATAACAAAGCTCTATTGATTTATTCCTTTAATCCTTGTTCATTTTCTTCACTCCCAACATAATTTTATTCTTATTTTTTCTTGAACTTTTTTCATTATTTTTCAAGATCATTTAATTTTTTTCCTCAAGTTTTTACTTTTGACTTTTATTTATTTTTTTTTTTTTTAAAAGCTGCATTACCCCAAGGGAGAGAACAGGACTATAAAGGTAGGCCCCCATACCCTTTGTTGGACTTTCTTAGCATTATCTGTCTGTCTATCTTTTGTGATTGTAATGACCAAGTAATAATAACAAGCTAACTAATTAATCATTTTCATCGAGGGGGAACATATGCAACATATAAAAATATCATTTCATTAATTCCTCCACAGATGTTTGTATAAGTCAAAATTTTGTTTACCACTGTATTTCGGAAATATCTTTTTAAAGACTTGTCAGCATTTTCTGTTAGCATCTTAAAAAAAAAAAAAAACACTAGAGTAAAAACTTTTAAAATGTTAAATATTGGAATATCTATAGATACATAAAGGTAATAAAATTGTTGGACAAGGAGTTGAAGAACATTTAAAGCTTTTTTTTTTTTTTTTTCTCCTATAAACAACCATAACTACATGTATATGTTTTTGTCAAACCTCTTGCTATAATATAATCAAACTAATTATCTCCTTTGAACAAGCAACTAAATATTTGACACTGGCACACCATTTGGACTTATTATTATTTATTTTTTTTTTTTATGAAGTGAAGCTGGGAAGTAAGAGCATTAGTAATAAAACTGATTAGAATAAATATATGTAAACAGTCACATGTGAGAAAACTAATAGAAAGGACTTGTATTAATTTCACATATAGTCATTTTTTACTACATATGCTAGTTCTAAGAATAAATTTGGTCTTGCTATTATAGCTATATGCCATTTTGTGAGTTATACTAAATGTTAATTTATGTATAAAATGAAAATATCTTTTTGAAAATTTTTAGATTAAAGTATTTACAATATGGCATAATGAAAGTATTGGCATAAATGTTTATTATATAGGTTGCTTTTAATTATTCACTTATTTTTCAAAGTAAAAATAGACACTTTAGAGAATTGTATTGGTGTTAAGCATCACATTTTCTGTCCTCTATTAAAACACTTCCCAGGGGCATTGGAAAAGCTAAGCAATATATTAAGAAACAGAAAAATTTCATTAGCAACAAAGAGTAATGAACTGTTTAGTATCAGTCCTCCTATATGGCAGTGAATGCGGGACAATCTGCTCACAGATGAAGAGACTTGAAGCAGTTAGAAATGTGATTCTACCGAAGGATGCTGAGAATATCATGGACTGAACATGTGAGCAACAATAAAGGACATTTATACTTAGCTTCAGGAAGAGGTAGTTGAAACTTCTGGGGTACATGAAGAAAGAGAGCTTGAAAAATTTGATACTCACAGGACAGGTTTGACAGTAAGAGAGACAGTGGAAAATCTCACATAACCTACTCAGTGAGCTTGAGTAAATGGATTGCAAAGCAACATTTAGGAGAGGTAATTTATTAAGAACTACAAAGGACAGGAAATTGTGGAGAAGCATGATCACAAATGACATGAAGGGACAAGCAGAAGATTAATGCTCAACATGTAACGGGATTCATAATGTACTGTTAAAAACAGTAATCTAAGTTTCTAAATCCAATCACATAAAGTTTTTTTTTGTAGAAATGAATGAACTTTAACAACTCTGTGTGTGTGTGTGTATATATATATATATATATATATATATATATATATATATGAATTAACCTGTAGAAAAAGACTGTATAAACAAAAAAAAAAAGACAATAGGAAAACTAGTTTTAGCCAGCGTTTCGTCCAATATGAACAAAAATTTAAAACAAAGTATCTATAAACATCAAATGAAATGGCATTAGCAATTAGGGTTTCTAAATTCTTCTAGTTGCTAACATTTTGTTTGTTGTTTATAGATACTTTGTTTCAATAAATTATTTCATTTATTTTTTTTATTTTTTCCCTTGAAAAAGTCCACATTGGGCAAAACGCATCGGCTAAAACTAGTTTTCCTATTGTCTTTTCCTTTTATTTTTATATATATATATATATATATATGTGCACACACTTGTAAACTAATTTTTGATGCATGAATGCACTAACTAGTCACTTGCATGAACACTAAGCCTATTCATCTATAAACCAAAGTAAGATATGAGATTACAACATACATTGTGGTTTTCACCTAAATCTTTAACACACACACAGAGATAGATATATATATATATATATATATATATATATATATATATATATATATATATATATATATATATATATATATGGGTGATTATTACTTTTAGTCATTAGTTCTGAAGGAAGTTTAAATGGCTAAGACTTGGGATTGCTATCAATGAATAAAATTTGCCTTCTATTTTTGAGCATTTTTTTTAAATTAGATATTTGAAAATAATTGATGTGGTCACTTTTTTTTTTTTTTTTAAATTAACTGCCTCATTAAATGCACTGGCATTATAGTAAAAATATATACATGCATATACCATGCAATTGATAGGATATTAATTGGTATTCTACCAGGAAGTAAAAGCAAATTTTTCAAATATTATTCAGATTATCTTCTGATGCTTCTCCATTTTAAAATGAATTTAAAAGCTCGGTGATTTCAGAAAAAAATAAATAAATAAAAGGCACAGAGAAGCTACATTACAATGGTGGGAAAATGACTAAAGCTGAGATGCCAAGTCTGGACCAATAACATTGCAGATTCTTCTTTGGATTTTATCAAGAATCTCTAAATATATAGCAGGAGTACCAGACCAGTTGTGACAGCAATATTCAAAGCATGGTTGAATGGTAGACTTATAAATATGAGACAGATCCTGGTATGAAAAACTAACACAGTAAACTAACTTTCCTAGCAGTAGACCTATAGTATGTTTCCACTTCATATTGGCTAGATGTTAGTTCAAGAAGGTGCAATGAGTCCCTCTCCTGGAGGTTAGCATCAGCCATGCTGATGGAAGGCAAAAAAGGATTCTCTCAGATGATTAAATGAGAGCAGTTTCATTTTTGAGGTGTTAAAATGAACAAACCATTCCTTGTCCCAGTTAAGACTGTAGGCCATTTTTAGATCAGCTGGCAATTTAACCTCATCAAACCTTATTTAGATTCAAACTAATATTATCACCACATTTTGGCTGTTGTACCGTTTGGGCTTCTTTGGATGTCTGTTGATTCAGATAACCTTCAGGCAAATTTTGAACCGAGCCCTTTACTTAATCTATGGAATGTTCTCTTTTTATATCTTTTGCATTATAGTAGTTGTGAGTTCAATGCCTAGGCCAATTCAGGCTTGAAAGAATTTCACTGTACTAAATAAAGAACAAGATGAGTTATCCTCAGACATGGACAATTACAATTTACCTTGTAGATTAAATAAAAGGTTCAATTTGAAATTCCCTAAAGATTACCTGAATTGATATACTTGAAGAAGGTTGTAGAGTACAGCATCCAAAAATATTCTTGTAATAACAACAAAAATGAAGAAATTACTCCAAATGTAAATACTTGATAATCCTGCTTACTGTAACATCTTTTCTGCTATCCTAACCAAAAGATGTTCTTGATATTCACCAATATTAAATTTTTCTATTGTTAAAAGAAATCTTAACTGCTGCAACTGTCAACATGCCAGAAACGTCCTATTTTTATTCAAATGGCCTGCAGCAAGAGCAGACAAGTAAATTATTCAAATAACTAGATGGTTTCTATTGGCAGTAAATTCTAAATTCTCAGCTTGATAAATGATTACTTTGATAGCGAGTGTTACTTGTTTACTTGAATTCTCAACAATTGCTGTTTGCAACTGCAATACTATAATTGAACTTTTCTTACTCTCGCATCTGTTTTGTATGTATGGAGCCACTTGAAGCTGGTACTAAATGGAAACGGTTATATTAATTGAAACCTTTTTACATCCATCACTGTTAACTCTTTGATCCTCAATATTCCTGTTTGAAATAGAAATATTTTGATACTGTAGTTATTTATCTTATTGCTGGAGAGCTAGTTTTTCATACCTTTTCAAAATTGTGCGCATCCTGTGTGCAATGCCATTGAAAGCTGTTTTTGTCTGTTTAGGATTTTACATTTTAAAAATTCCCCAAGTGATATTAACATGAAAACCTGTATTTAGTTACATTGGATAATATTACTTCTTGTTTTTTCTCTTTCCAAAATATTTTCCAGCCTGATTGTGAACTTCTCAAGTTTCACATTTTGATCTTTGTAGAAAACAAAACACAAAAATCTTTTGTGTTTAAAATTTTAGATTTTACAAGTTTATGAAAAAAATTCTCTTGTGCTCATTATATACCTTATGAATTTATATTTCTTTAATAATTTGTGGCTGTTTAAATTAAGTAATAAAAAAAAAAATTATTAAAACCTGAAGATTATGAAGACTTTAACAGTTACAGAGCCAGTAGTTAAAATTGGCCTTAATAAGATTGAAGTTATTTAAAAAAAAAAAAAAAAAAAAATGCATCCTGCTTCTTTAGAATCGATCTGTGGAATAATTGGTCTTTAAGTGCAATTGTCAAAATTCTCAGTGAACAATAAGAAAAAGACACAATAATACTAAAACTATATATTCTTTCTCCCGCAACATTTCAGATGTATACTTACTAGCCTTCCTTGGGTGTCTGTTGTGCTTTAGAATATTGTTGAAGGGTGCATAAACAACTCATCTCTCCCTCCACATTTTTGTGTCTTTGTGCTTCTGGGATGATTCTCTACAAAGTTTCACACTGAAATCATACTCTTTAATAATAAAATGAAGAACATTAGAAAGCTACAATACAAAGAGACACATTAAAATTTGGTCTGTCTGACTGTGAAATTGGAAGGGCACTCCTCCCTACACTTTTTTTTTTTTTTTTTTTTTTTTAAGGGCTACTCAAGGTAGAGGGTTACTGAATGTTGTTATAGGAGGTAGTGATCAGGAAAAACATCTGTTTGGGAGTCTGTTCCACAAAGTAGCTGTTCTTAGGAAGAATCTGACTGAGTGGAACTTCTTCCTTCTCACTAATGGAATATGAAGAGAATGAAGGTGATTCATCCCAATGTAAACTGTGAATGTCAGAACTATAGGAATGATAGTTCAGTAGAACCATGGAAATAGTGATAGTT